TATCATATCCGCCGTGAGAGCGAGAAGTATGATGAGAAAGGGGTACCATGCATATCTAGCATACGTGGTTGACAAAACCAAGGAGGAAACGAACATCGACGACGTGAGGGTGGTTTGTAAGTATCCGGATGTCTTCCCTAAAGACCTACCGGGGCTTCCACCTGATAGGGAGATTGAGTTTGTGATCGAGGTCGAGCTTGGTACCAAACCAATCTCCATACCGCCATACCGTATGGCACCCGCTGAACTTAACGAGTTGAAAACCCAATTGCAAGAGCTTTTGGATAATGGTTTCATTAGACCAAGCCACTCCCCGTGGGGAGCACCAGTTCTTTTTGTGAAGAAGAAAGATGGGACACTTCGAATGTGTATTGACTATCGTCAACTGAACAAGGTCACAATCAAGAATAGGTATCCCTTGCCTAGGATTGATGACTTGTTTGATCAACTACGAGGGGCAACCGTGTTTTCAAAGATTGACTTGAGGTCGGGTTACCATCAATTAAAGATTAAGGAAGATGACATACCAAAAAGTGCTTTTCGCACAAGGTATGGTGACGTGCACTTTGTCGTGAGTGCACTCAAAGTAATTTCAACACTAACACTTATACGTAGTATAGCGTAGTAGAGTTCGTATCCACAGGGAAAGGAATAATTCTCTTTTTATAAAACTAGTAAATAAAAAGGGGGGTTTTGGGATTGAATGATTTAACTTAATTAAACATAAAGATGAACAACTTAATTTAAAGATAAAAAGGACTTGGCATTGCTACTTTCCACTTGTTGATATATTTTAGTCGATCATTGTTATATCTATAACTAATCCCCTCTCGAATACTCAATCGAGGAGTATATCCAATTCATCGAGGAAAGTTATTAACAACGACCGTTCATTAATAACCCTTACTATTAGTCAAGTATAGAACAACGCCATATACCGACTTGATAGTAGCATTTAATCTCTGAACTCCTTGATGAAATCAATTGAGATTGATAACCTCAACACAAAGGTTTCGGTTTAACCAACAAAATTAATCCCTCTTAAGTTTATTAACCACGACCGTGCATTAATAAACCGAAGTTACTTACTTGTGAAACCATCAACGATTAACCATCGGTTCGTTGATCGTTTCTAGTAGTAATTAATGTCGAGATGTTAACTAATTGTCATCTTAGCAACACTCCCCAACATTAATATAGAGATAGATTAAGGGAAGAATTAATATTCAAGGAAGAAGATTAAATATGAATAATCCTACTATAACTAATGTCAAGATGTTATCTAATTGTCATCTTAGCAACACTCCCCAACATTAATATATAGAGGAAGAAAATAAATACTACTATAACTAATGTCGAGATGTTAACTAATTGTCATCTTAGCAACACTCCCCAACATTAATATAGAGATATATTAAGAGAATAATTAATATTCAAGGGAAGAAGTTAAGAAAATAACTCACAACTTTAATAATCAACAAGCTTCAAGAGCAACACCAAGAAATGGAAGTTTAGCTCCTCATTTGGAGACTAAACATGCTATAAAATATAAAAGAAATACTATTCTAAACTGAGCTTAAGAGTATGGAAGAAGGGATTTAAAAGTGAAGGAAAGGGGGTGTATTTATAGGCTTTTTGAGGTGCAGGATCGAGTACTCGATCGAGTATGTATAGAAATCAGAATTTGGTCAATACTCGATCAATACTCGAGTAGATTTTATATGCATACCCGATCGAGTATATAAGCATACCCGATCGGGTATAGACACTCGAACGTGGGAAAATCTTCTCCTGCATGTTCCTTTGTTTTCGGATCCGATCCGATTTGAAATGTCAACCAGATACCCGATCGAGTATATGTATATACTCGATCGAGTATAGACCAAAATCAGGATTTTTCCTTCTTTTTGTCTTGTACTCTTGCACCTTCCTTCACCATTGATCATTTGATTGATCTTGGACCTGTTTAAGCTCAGAATAAACCTAATCTAAACAAATTACAAGAATTTAACAAACTAAACTATTACACCGAAAGTGTGTAATTTCCGAAATATTAAACAATCAAAACTAACTAAAAGCGTAAATAAACATACGGAAATTACAAACGTATCAACTCCCCCACACTTAGTTCTTTACTCGTCCTCGAGTAAAGTCAAATGTTCAAACAGTTTAAGACAATTCCATGAGTTCAAGAAAGAAATGAACTAAGATCACCAAGAAATAAGAAAATGATTTTTACAAACAACTTTCTTTCTTGGGTTTTATGATCTTCTATGCTCCATCTTCTTGCCTCTTCTTCTTTGCCTTCTCTTCTTTTCTCCTCAAGAGATCAAATGAGTTCCTGCACACAACAAATATTTCTCTCATATCTCTCATTTTGCCTACGAGCCTTTTCAGGTTTTCATCCTAGCATCTCTTTTTGTTTTTCCATCCTTACTAACTCACTCATTTCATTTTTTTATAAGCCATTTTTTTGCTTAGATTGCCCATTTTTGGGTTTTCAACCTAACTAGCATTTCAATTCTTTTATCCATTTTTCTCTTCTTCTTCTTTTTTTTTTTTTGTTTACAAAGGGTAAAAGAAGTTCATGCATAGTAAAAGGTAGAAAATGAAATTACATACCATGAGTAATCTCCTCCCCCACACTTAGTTGAAGCACTGTCCCTAGTGCCCGCCTTCTCCGCCGTAGAAGCCGCCTCCAAAGCCGCTTCCAAAGCCTCCTCCAAAGCTCCCATCGCCCATGTGGGTGTCGCCGCCATCATCCCCTCCATCAAAACCTCCACCCCCGGAGCTAGATCCTCCAAAATTACCCCATTGAGTGGGGTCATACCAAGAGGGGGGTGGTGGTGGTTGAGCCATGGTGTGGAATTGGCCTTGATGAGCCATGTAAGAGTACATCGGTCCATAGAACCTACGTTGATCCTCTTCATACCGTCGGTTGTCTTCGGCCCTTTGCTCTTCTATTCTTTGAAATCCCGCCCTTTGTTCCTCCCGATACTTACCAACTTCGTTAGTAACTCTATTAAATCCGTCAAGCAGTTGTTGGAAGTAATTGGGAGGTGGGAAAGCTTGGTTAGGTGCGGGCATGTGGTGATGTGCAACCTCGGGTTCTTGGTACTCGGGTTGAGGCTCTTGGTCGGGTTGGTCTTCGGGGAGATCTTGGGCTTGTGGTTCTTGGAGATGTGGTGGTAGGGCGTGAGGGAATAGGTAGTGGGGCACCTCGAACTCCGGCCTGTAGATGATTTTGGGAGTGTCGGGGTTTGGCAAAAGGAAGTATTGGACCGGTTGGACGTGTATGATCCAGTTGTACATGTGTTTTGGTTGGTCTCCAATGTACACTGTATGAGAAAAAGAGGTGCAGCCTGATCGGCCTAACCAACCTATGTCCATCAAACAATATTCGGGTATAGGAGAGTTATCCGTATACCCGAATTTACCGGCCAAGTGCATAATTACCCCTCCCAAAACAATGGCTCCTTTGGCTACGCTTTCTTTTTTCAGATGTGCCCACATGAGATTGCACAGATTAAAGTCTACGTGACGACGGAATAGGGCCACGGACATCAAACAAACGTCCCCAATTCTAGTGTGATGGTTGTTGGGACGGCCAAGCAAGCAATTGGCTAAGAATTTCAAGAATAACCGGAGGACGGGGTGTTGGACATGACTAATATACATTTGGGAGGAGTTAAAGCTCACTTCCCCGGTCATCTTTGTCCATAGGGAGTGTCCAAAAATGGTGTTATCCGAGATGGCTCTCTCGTAGGGCACCGGGATACCAAAGTGTTCAGCAAACTCGAGTTTCGTTATTGAATAATTTCGGTTAAACAGACGAAACTCGAGTCTATCATCCCTAAAATCCGCCTCATCACTTTCAAATTTCACCGAACTCAAGAATTCGTAGATAATCCGTTCATTAGAATTGTATTTCATATTGAAAATACGGTCCATATCTAATGCATGAAAGAATTTTCTACAACTCTTATAGACTCCTAATTCTCGTAGAGCATCATGGCAAAGAAAACGGGAAGGTTTTACTTGCCTTTTTGTTGTTGATAGGAGTCTAGTTCGGTGTTCGGCGTCGGCGGGAATGATGTCTTCAAAGCCCGGGATGGGTGCTATGGTGATTGAGCTTTCTCCCCTATTCTTCCTTGGTGCCATTGTTGATAAATTGAGCTTGAAGAAGCAAAAATTCGAATGGGGTAGGGTTTTTTGGGATTTGGTGGAAGTTTGGGGAAAATGGGATTTTTGGGTATAGATATGGAGAGGAGAGGAAGGGGAGTATTTTGGTGGAAGAATGGGTTGATTTGGTGGAGAATTGAGAGAGATATGGTAGAGAGAAGGGTTGAAAATGGAGTTTGGGGGAGAGGTTGTTTGAAATTTTTGAGAGTTTTGGGGAAGATGAAGTGTTTTGGGGTGTATTTGGGGTTATATCCGCAGGGGTACCCGATCGAGTATCCCTGTATACCCGATCGGGTACCGGAGGCAGGGGCATAGAAAAGTTGATTTTCCACTTATACTCGACCGAGTATTGATATGTACTCGATCGGGTATAGGAGGCAGGGGCTTATTGCTTTCATTTTTCCACCAATACTCGATCGAGTATCAACCTGTACTCGATCGAGTACAAGAGACAGATTTTTTTCTTCTTCTTATTTCAGTTCATACTCGACCGGGTAAAGAGGTATACCCGATCGAGTATGCCTCCATTTTTAGAAATATATGGCTACTTCGATCGAGTAGTGCCTCGGTTCCTCTTTTTAGACAATACCCGACCGAGTATGAGATGGTACTCGATCGAGTATGTCCCCAGACACTTCAAAACCTGCATTTTCTTCTTCTTCAAAACAAACATGTGATTAGTCCCCTCTCTCTCTCTTTTCTCACAAATTTACACAAAAAGGAAATAAAATCTAACTAATTGACTTGGGTTGCCTCCCAAGAAGCGCCTTATTTAACGTCGTGGCACGACGTTTTATTTATTTTTATTTTTATTTTATGTGGGATCGTGAGCATCCCTTCCTTCATTTCTTTTCTTTTGCCTTTTCCAGTAAGGCCGACCTTTCTTCTTTGTTCCCGACTCAATTAAAGCATTTGGCGTTGGTGGTTCAAAAACATTCAAAGAGCAAAGAGATTGATCTTTAATTTGTTTTTTCGTAGAGTCGAAGATATTGAACTCTACTTTTTGGTCATTGAACTCTAAAGTTAATGAACCACTAGACACGTCAATTTTTGTTTTTGCGGTCTTTAAGAAGGGTCTTCCCAAGAGGATGGGTGCCGTTTGGTCATCATTCCCCATTTCGAGGACGTAGAAGTCGACGGGAAAAACCATATTCTCTACTTCTACTAGCACATCCTCTAATACACCCTTTGGGTAGGTACTAGAACGATCTGCTAGTTGAATCACTACACCGGTTTGATGTAGTGGGCCAAGTTGTAGGGTTTTATAAACGGAATAAGGAATGACATTTATAGATGCCCCCAAATCTAGTAAGGCCTTAGGAAATGTGGTGTTTCCTATCGTGCAAGGAATTGTGAACATGCCAGGGTCGTCACATTTTTTTGGAAATTTTTTTTGAAAGACGGCTGAGACATGCTCACTAACTTCAACCTTTGGTTTCCCCTTTAATTTATCTTTTCTTTTTATTACACATAGTTCTTTCAAAAACTTTGCATAACGGGGAACACTTTGGGTTAGTTTAAAGAGTGGAGTATTTACCTCACAATCGGCGAAGGTCTTATAGATGTCCCGATCACTCTCTAGCTTCCTTGTATCTTTCAACGCCTCAGGGAATGGAGGGATTGGTTCATATGATGATAGTGGAGGAAATTTTCTCTTCGTTGGCTCCTCCTCCTTGTGGTCAATCTCCTCTTTTTCACTTTCCTTTGCTTGTGATTCCGGGCTACTCCTTAGCATGATGGCATTGACTTGTTGCCTTGGGTTTTGCTCAGTTTGGGACGGGAGCCTACCCGAATCTCTTGCTTCAAGTCGATTTACAGCATTCGAAATTTGGCTAACTTGAGTTTCCAAATTTTGAATGCTTGACTTTGTTTCTTGTTGAAATTGCACCACGTTTTGTTGTAAGGTGGCCATGGTAGTAGCAAGAGTTCGAATCATGTCTTCCGTAGACATACTCGATTGAGAAGGTGGGTTGGTTTGTTGAGGGTTTCCATACCTTAAGTTTGGATGATCCCTCAATCCGGGATTGTAAGAATTTGAGAACGGGTCATACCTCCTTTGTTGGTGGCCTTGGAAACCCAAGGCGTTGACATGCTCTGTTGTGTCTTCTTGAAGAGTTGGGCATGAGTCCGTGGGATGCCCTTGTTGTGTACAGATACCGCAGACCTTGACTTCTTGGGTCTTGGATTTTAAAAGGAAATCCTTAACCAAAGAAGTCAAGCCGGTCACTTGACTGGTCAAGCCGTTCACTTGACTTTCCAACGCGTTGTTGGATTCTGCCGCCATAACTCTTCGAGTTGAGGATCGCCCGTTATAGTGTCTGGAGTTCTCGGCCAACTCCGAGATGAGATCTCTTGCTTGCGAAGGGGTTTTGTTGACAATGCCCCCTCCACACGCCGCATTCACCATGCGACGATCTTGATCCACAAGACCATCATAGAAGTACAGGATGAGGTCTTGTTCGGTGTATCCGTGATAGGGGCAACTTGCACATAGCTTCTTGAATCTCTCCCAATATTCATATAGGGATTCATCATCTTTTTGTTCGATGTTGCTTATTTGCTTCTTGAGTGATGATGAAATAGAAGCGGGGTAGTACCTGTCAAGAAAGGCCTTCTTCATTTGTGGCCATGTAGTGATACTTCCTGAAGGAAGATAGAATAGCCAGTCCTTCGCGGTGTCCTTCAAGGAAAATGGGAATGCTCTCAGTTTGATCTGCTCCTCGGAGACACCATTGGGGCACATGCTTGTGCACACAATGTGGAACTCCGACAAGTGTTTGTTCGGATCCTCCCCTCGTAAGCCATGGAAGGATGGGAGTAGATGAATGACCCAGATTTTAGCTCAAATGTGACCCCCGTATCAAATGTTGGAAAAGTGATACATAGGGGTTGTTGATCTAGATTCGGAGCCGTGAGCTCCCTCAATGTTCTCGTTTCATTAGCCATAGTAATTGGCTCTTCAGTCTCGCTAGATTGAGAACTAGCACTTGATGATTCTCCCGAGTCGGAGCTTGAGAATTTATTCTTCAACCGCTCGAGAGTTTGTTCTATTTCGGGGTTTGATTTGTAGGTGATTTCGTTCAGTGAACGATATTTAACCATATACTACAAAGCTCAGAAGAAATAGAAATCCTTATACTTGAACCATATTTTTTTTTCTTAGAATAAAATAAAAAGAAAAATTAATTGCCTCTCCCCGGCAACGGCGCCAAATTTGACGTGCACTTTGTCGTGAGTGCACTCAAAGTAATTTCAACACTAACACTTATACGTAGTATAGCGTAGTAGAGTTCGTATCCACAGGGAAAGGAATAATTCTCTTTTTATAAAACTAGTAAATAAAAAGGGGGGTTTTGGGATTGAATGATTTAACTTAATTAAACATAAAGATGAACAACTTAATTTAAAGATAAAAAGGACTTGGCATTGCTACTTTCCACTTGTTGATATATTTTAGTCGATCATTGTTATATCTATAACTAATCCCCTCTCGAATACTCAATCGAGGAGTATATCCAATTCATCGAGGAAAGTTATTAACAACGACCGTTCATTAATAACCCTTACTATTAGTCAAGTATAGAACAACGCCATATACCGACTTGATAGTAGCATTTAATCTCTGAACTCCTTGATGAAATCAATTGAGATTGATAACCTCAACACAAAGGTTTCGGTTTAACCAACAAAATTAATCCCTCTTAAGTTTATTAACCACGACCGTGCATTAATAAACCGAAGTTACTTACTTGTGAAACCATCAACGATTAACCATCGGTTCGTTGATCGTTTCTAGTAGTAATTAATGTCGAGATGTTAACTAATTGTCATCTTAGCAACACTCCCCAACATTAATATAGAGATAGATTAAGGGAAGAATTAATATTCAAGGAAGAAGATTAAATATGAATAATCCTACTATAACTAATGTCAAGATGTTATCTAATTGTCATCTTAGCAACACTCCCCAACATTAATATATAGAGGAAGAAAATAAATACTACTATAACTAATGTCGAGATGTTAACTAATTGTCATCTTAGCAACACTCCCCAACATTAATATAGAGATATATTAAGAGAATAATTAATATTCAAGGGAAGAAGTTAAGAAAATAACTCACAACTTTAATAATCAACAAGCTTCAAGAGCAACACCAAGAAATGGAAGTTTAGCTCCTCATTTGGAGACTAAACATGCTATAAAATATAAAAGAAATACTATTCTAAACTGAGCTTAAGAGTATGGAAGAAGGGATTTAAAAGTGAAGGAAAGGGGGTGTATTTATAGGCTTTTTGAGGTGCAGGATCGAGTACTCGATCGAGTATGTATAGAAATCAGAATTTGGTCAATACTCGATCAATACTCGAGTAGATTTTATATGCATACCCGATCGAGTATATAAGCATACCCGATCGGGTATAGACACTCGAACGTGGGAAAATCTTCTCCTGCATGTTCCTTTGTTTTCGGATCCGATCCGATTTGAAATGTCAACCAGATACCCGATCGAGTATATGTATATACTCGATCGAGTATAGACCAAAATCAGGATTTTTCCTTCTTTTTGTCTTGTACTCTTGCACCTTCCTTCACCATTGATCATTTGATTGATCTTGGACCTGTTTAAGCTCAGAATAAACCTAATCTAAACAAATTACAAGAATTTAACAAACTAAACTATTACACCGAAAGTGTGTAATTTCCGAAATATTAAACAATCAAAACTAACTAAAAGCGTAAATAAACATACGGAAATTACAAACGTATCATATGGGCACTTTGAATTCCTTGTTATGTCGTTTGGGTTAACAAACGCCCCAGCGGCGTTCATGGACTTGATGAACCGAGTATTTCACAAATACTTGGACCGATTCGTGATTGTGTTCATTGATGACATCTTGATCTACTCAAAGAGTGAGGAAGAGCATGAGGAGCACTTGATACTCGTTCTTGAGACACTACGGGAGAAGCAACTCTATGCCAAATTTTCTAAATGTGAATTTTGGCTTAAGGAGATTGGTTTTCTCGGGCATATGGTTTCGGGATCGGGAATTGCTGTCGATAACAAGAAGATAGAAGCCATCACCGAATGGGAGAGACCAAAGAACGTCAAGGAAATTCGTAGTTTCCTTGGATTGGCAGGATACTATAGAAAGTTCGTGGAGAAGCTCTCTGTTTTGGCATCACCGTTGACGAAGCTCACTCGAAAAGGAGCTAAGTTTGTATGGGATGACAAATGTGAGAAAGGATTCACTGAACTGAAGAAGAAATTGACCGAGGCACCGGTACTTGCATTACCCAAACAGGGTATGGGGTACGATGTCTATAGTGAGGCGAGCATCCAAGGGCTTGGATGTGTGTTAATGCAGGAGGGGAGGGTAATTGCCTATGCTTCACGACAGTTGAAGAAGCATGAGGTAAATTACCCCACCCATGATCTAGAGTTGGGAGCAGTGGTGTTCGCACTGAAGATTTGGAGACATTATCTCTACGGAGAGACATGTCACATATACACTGACCATAAGAGCTTGAAGTACGTGTTTACTCAGAAAGAGTTAAACATGAGGCAGAGACGGTGGATGGAGTTGATAAAGGACTACCATCTAGTGATTGAGTACCATCCAGGCAAGGCAAATGTGGCGGCAGATGCTTTGAGCCGGAAGAGCTCATCTGGGGCATTGATAGCTAATTTGAGGGCATTAAGAGCCCAACTGGAGGTGTCCAGTAATGGTGCCTTATTGGCACGGTTTGAGGTGAGACCTACTTTGCTTGATGAGATCAAGAAGGGTCAGGAAACTGACGATGAAATCATGAAGATCAGGGAACGCATGCAAGCGGGACCGGTGGAGGACTTCAGGGAAAGAGACGACGGTCTTTTATGATTTCGTGACCGAGTGTGTGTACCGGCAGATGATGAGCTCCAAAAGTCCATCTTAGAGGAAGCTCATTCATCGGCTTATGCCATGCACCCGGGGGGCACGAAGATGTACCGCGACTTGAAGGAGAGTTACTGGTGGTCGGGTATGAAGAGAGAAATAGCCGAATATATCAGTCGATGCCTTACTTGTCAACAAGTTAAGGCAGAACATCAGCATCCAGCAGGCTTATTGCAACCACTTTCCATTCCTGAATGGAAGTGGGAACACGTGACTATGGATTTTGTGGTAGGTTTACCACGGACAATCAGGAACTATGATGCAGTTTGGGTTGTGGTAGATAGGCTCACGAAGAGTGCACACTTCTTGCCTATCAACACTACTTACCCACTTGAGAGGTTAGCCAAATTGTATACGGATGAGATCGTGAGGCTGCACGGGGTCCCAGTGACCATTGTATCTGATAGAGACCCACGGTTCACATCGCGTTTTTGGCCAAAGTTTCAGGAGTCTATGGGAACGAAGTTGAAGTTCAGTACTGCTTTCCACCCACAGACGGATGGGCAGTCTGAAAGAGTCATACAGATCCTAGAAGACATGCTGAGGGCTTGTGCATTGGAGTTCCAAGGAAGTTGGGACAACCACTTAGCACTTGTGGAGTTTGCCTATAACAACAGTTATCAGGCAAGCATCGACATGCCTCCATACGAGGCATTGTATGGGAGGAGATGTCGTACACCGTTATGCTGGGACGAGGTTGGCATGGCCAAACTCGAGGGTACTGAGTTGGTTGAGGTCACCAAATCAAAGGTGAAGTTGATTCGAGAGAGACTCAAAGCGGCTCAGGATAGGCAAAAGAGTTATGCAGATAAACGTCGACGAACCTTAGAGTTTAAGGTTGATGACGAGGTATTCTTGAAAGTTTCTCCTTGGAAAGGAATCATTCGATTTCAAACCCGAGGAAAACTTAACCCACAATATATAGGTCCATTCAGAATTATAGAGAGGATTGGGGCCGTAGCATATCGTCTACAGTTGACTCCTGAGTTAGAGAAGATACACAATGTGTTTCATGTATCCATGCTCAAGAAGTATGTGCATGATCCCTCTCACGTATTGGAAAAGCCGCCTGTAGAGGTACGTGAGGATTTGAACTACGCTGTGCAACCGATCAAGGTCACCGATAGAAAGGTGAAGAAATTGAGGAGCAAAGAAGTCCCAATGGTTAAAGTACTTTGGAAGAGCGATCGGGTCGAAGAAGAGACATGGGAAACAGAGGCTTTGATGAGGAAGCAGTATGCTTTCCTATTCGAGTAGAGCTGTGAATTTCGGGGACGAAATTCCTGTTAAGGGGGGGTGAACTTGTGACACCGCACCTGAACGTCCTTGAAAAATTTGATTTAAAATTCAAAGTTTATGTATTGGATTTCTGATTCCCAAACAATTGTAAAACGATTAATGTTTGAAAAAATTATATAAATATGACCAAAATAAAGATGATTTACAAAAATGTGATTAGTGGCTAGAGTAGTAATGAAATCATAGTAATTCATGTTCAAGTTTTGAGCTTAAGTTACCACAACATCACATTATAGTAATGAATAGTCATATTTATGTAAATTTGTTTTATTTTAGTGATATTCTTGTAAAAAATCCTTAATGTTTTACGTAATTAATGATCGATTATTGTATCGTTCAAACTCGTATATTTGTGTCGGGCATGCAAATACTATTTGGGTCTTATTAATAATAAAAGAGCCCAACATTTTCTAAATAGTGATACATCATCTTTCGAGACAATTTGAGGAAGGTCGGGCGGCCCAAACATTATTTTGGGCCCAACCTGCTAAAAATAGCGAGTATTCGAGAATGGCGTTCTAGACCCACTCGGGAGTGACCCACATGGCTAGTAGCCCATTAATATGTATGACATGATTAAAGAAGAATACAAATGCCTATAACCCCATCTTTGGCATTATTGAACTAAATAATGGGAGTAGGATTTTCCTTCTATAATATCCATCAAGTAAATTATTGAGATGAATCTACACATATTGGAGATCAATAATGTGATGTATGAAGTTGACTTTTTCTAAATAAGTTAGGATGAGTACAAAAAGACATCTTTGACAAAAGATAAAACAATAGGACCCATCTTCCCATTTTTGGGAGTATTGGTAGATATTTTGGACCTCAATTTGATTGAGATCAATTGGGAAGCATTCCATGTGGCTTGAGTACCTGCAAGACAAGGAAAATATGTGAGAAGACTCACCTTGGCGGCACCACATGGAGGAGCACTGCCCATGACACAATTGGAATCAAATTTTGGGGCCACCACCACTGTTTTCGCACAAACAGGTGTGCTGTTTTGTCTCCCTTCATTTTGAGAGTTATACTCGCCCAAATAGATTGATTAAGGTGTCCTTGGATAGCCTTTGAAGTCTATTTTCAGAATTGAGTGGTCTCTGTTCGAGAGGAGAGAGTAATCATACAAAAATCGAGCTGGAGTGAGCAGTGGTCCGTAAACTCGAGCTCTGAGAGTGCTGAATCTGTTTGGTGGATATCTCGAGTTATACCAATCCAATTAAGGCTTATAAGATACCAAAAGAAATCTCTCAAGACGAGGAATCCGTGAAGGTCTGGTTTGCATCAATCGGAGTAGTGGAAGGCTTCCAAATCGTCCGAGCAAAACACAACCTCGCAGAAACGAATCTACTCTTCTAAAGTGAGTTGTTAACCCCAAAACCTTTCCTTTCTCTTTCCAAATGATATGAACGATTGATGGAGCTATTGTACACCAATCCAAGTGTATAATATGTCCTTATAGATCTAATTTATTGATGTAAAGATTATGTACTAACCTAGAACAAATCATGGAAAAACTAGGAAACGTGTTCACCGGAAAACACCCATTCTAGGGGCTGTTTTCGTACCAACGTTTAGGGGTTGAGCTAGCACTTTGAAGAGGCTGTTTAACACTCATATTTGAGCAAGGAATCAGTTCCAAATCCACCTTGACCAAAGTCTTGACCATTGGATCGAGAAGGAAGGTTTTAAAGCTCATTTGAGGTGAGGACCGACATCTAGTTGCTTACAACTTGTAGGTTATGCATGAGATTACCTAAATGCTTGAATCATGTTTTTGTGAATAAATATGCTTGAACATGATATGAATGATAAGTAATGGACTTGATCATGAATTGAAACCATATTGATGAATATGGAGTCATGTGAGATAAAAGTATGCTAATATGGTAAATTGACTTTCCAACTCATGTATGAATTTTATGTGTATGTAAATATATAATTGCATGATGATGCTTAGAACATGGGAGGCTGCCACATATCTATTGACATGGAGGGGCTACCATTAATGATAAATGAGTTGTAGGAATAATCTTAATAGTATTGTGATGCTAGTTAAGGATTGTTCAAAATGTTGATAGAATCAAACTTAAGGTTTGAGTTGTTTGTGATGAAATTGAATAAGATTCAAGTGTCAAGTGTGATTTCATGGAGTAGGAGATCTATGGTGTGATTGTATGAAGTAGGAGATCTATGGTGTGATTGTATGAAGTAGGAGATCTATGGTGTGATTGTATGAAGTAGGAGATCTATGGGGTGAGTACATGAAGTAGGAGATCTATGATATGATTATATGAAGTAGGAGATCTATGATGCGAGTGCATGATGATGTACTCGAGCCGAACTCTAGAAATGAGAAGTTATATTACGGTTGGACCCTATGTATGTCGTGACCATTAGTCACGGGGTTTTGGGAAATGTTTTGTAATAAACATGGGCCTTTGAGCCGATTACTTGACTTTATATAAAGTAAGTATGTATTTTGAAAGGGGTAATCTGGGATTACGACCTATACTATATTATCACCCTATTTGAGGGTCTTGTGTGTGAAATACTTGTTGTATATCTATTAGATGCCTGCCACACCAGCACTTTATAGCCCTATAGAGTGCTGACCCCTTCGGGGGCGTCCCACCACCATTTTTCAGCTTGAGGCTAGAGCTTGCTTCCTGTGCTCGTTGCTCGAGAGATCATATAGGAGGGAAGACTTGGTTCGTGCTTCCTCCATTCTGTTTTAAACATTAATAAACATGCTCATGAATATTTTACTATAGAGCCTGCGTGCTCATGTTTGCCACGTGTGGCATTTGTTTTCAAACTATGTTTTCCGCTACGTATTCGATTGCTTATTATGTTGTTTATGGATGGCTTACGTGTGAATGATATTCGAGACGCCTTGTATGATACGAATGTGTTGGACTGCGGTTGACTATTCGTATTGTACGGCGGGTTGTTGACGTGTCCGGGGAGGTCCGGGGCGTGACATCATCAATATGTCACGAGTCATTGATGAGTCAATAGACGCAATGAACCAAGAGGTGAAGTATAGCTCTTTCAAAATTTCGACAAGTTGCCGCTTAATGATCCGACTCATGCATTGTACGCGTCAACTTCTCGAAAGGGGGCAATTGTTAGAGCAACTATTTGACAGTTTATGTTGCATTAAAGAGAGTTGATCACAAAAGTTAATGAGGCTTAATGATGGCTGTTGTAATGGATTTGTGTTTATTATTGGAGTTAGTAACGATATTAAGGCAAGAGGTTACTTATTTTGAGCTGGCCAGCATTGATGACGAGTTGCGAAACCGACGGGTCGGAACCGTCATGTCAAATCGCCAATAACGGATAAATGGAGTCAATGAAGCGTTAAGAATCTCATTTTAAATATTGTAACATTTTTTTGTACATTATTAGGCTCTTTAATGTTATTAAGGAAGGTATTAAATGTATTTGACCGGCCTTTATGACGGATTTGAATTCGTCAGTACGGCCAACCTGTCAGTAACGGACGGCCAATCCGTCAGTAACGTAAAAAGTCATCATTAGGGCTTTAATTACCTTTCCTATAAGTAGGATAGTCTCATTGTAATCAGGGCAGAGCTCACATTTGAACAATACACATGTTTTCACTCTTATTCACTCTCTTGTCATCTTCTCTTTACTCTTGTTCGAAGCCCTTTTTTCATATAAATTCCTTTTTAATTAGTTTTAGCTTATCAATAAAATTGCTTAAACAAGTAGTAAATAAATGACACCAGAGTTTTTTTTATAGTGGTTCAAGAAACAACTTGTTCCTCTAGTTCACTGTTCCACTAAGCTTGTAAAGTGTCAGATTACAACGCCTTAGTCCTAGCACTTAAGAAACACTCCACGTCTTCTTCAAGGCCAGGTGTCACCCGGGATGCTCTTCCTAGCTTCATTGTGACAGATCTCGTTTCACTGAGTCTCTTTGAAGTGATCGTTCGTCGGGCGGACGAGCCTGAAGATCCTTCATGATTCGAAGGACTTGCCAGTAGGGGTGGGTTCGGTTCTTGCGGTTCGGTTTTGACCTAAAACCAAATATAGAATCAAAGTAAAAAGTTCGGTTCGGTTTCGGTTCGGTTTTACACTCCAAAACTTGGAACCACGGTTTAATTGGTTCGGTTTTTTTCGATTCGGTTTCGGTTTTTTCGGGTTTTTACCAAAAAATTATCATTTGATTTAAAATTGATATAGTACTTTGAGGGATCAAACATATATTACATAAAGAATGCAAGCACACTACAACAAATAAAATAAAAATGAAAATAAATAAATATCTCATGAATTATATGAGTATGCGAGAGAGATAAAAGTATATATTATTAATTTACATGGTTTGTGACTAGTTCAAAAAAAGTTCATGAGTATATACGTTAAATGTGATATAGTTGAGATAAATATTTATTGTTTCATCAATACGAATTTTTTAAGTTAAATAAAAATAAAAGTTAATTAATACTAATAACAAGTAAAAACATATTATTAGTATAGCTACATTATTACGTGCAATGAATGTGTAAATGAATTCATAAACTAAACTAAACATAACAAACATTATATCTCTGGCACAAGAAAACCAAAAACTATTAATGATATTAGGATTAGTTAGGATTAATGCTTAACAATGGACAAATAAATTTTATATTTTAACTAGTTCGGTTTGTTCGGTTCGGTTCGGTTTTGAAGGGTAAAAACCAAAACCGAACCAAACAACTACGGTTCGGTTCGGTTTTTTACATTCGGTTTCGATTTGTTAGCGGTTCGGTTTTATTTGGCTACGGTTCGGTATGATTTGATTCGGTTTTCGGTTTTCGGACCCAGCCCTACTTGCCAGCGTGAAGACAACAAAGAAAAACGGGAGTGAAGATACCAAATATGATGACGGTCGAATGAGGTTTTGAATTGCAAGAGTCGGTGATTTGGCTGAGATCAATTGTGAAATGAAAAAGACAAACATTTGAAAGTTAAAGAATGAAAGAAAAATTTTATGTTGACATAAATGATATTGTAGATACAAAAGTGGTCTAAACGGGTAATTTCCACTTTAATTAGAGTTTTTTGCCGAAATAATGCTAATTAAATAAATAAATCCCAAAATACTGTTGGGTTAAAAATAATTCCCAAAATACTGTTGTGTTAATCATGGTTAAGGACAAAAGCCGCCACTCCAAGTGGCGGCTCTTCTCTTACAACACATTTTGTAATTGTACATATATAAAACACAATATGTTTCAATAATTTGTTTAACTATCTTCCCGATTGAATTTTGAGCTGAAATTTGGTATGAATAAACTAGACTTGATGAGGAACATGTTCAAAACATTTCATCAAAAAGTTATACCGGGAAGACCCTCTGCTGGTGTTGTCCGCACGGGGGTTCCGATCAGGACGTCATGACAAGAATGGAACATTTTTATGAAATTTGAAGTGCTTCCGAGTCGATTTTTTTTATTTATGAAATTTGGTGATCATCTTCTTCTTCCTAAAGTATAGGTTTTGTTCACCGAATTTCAGATTAAAATTAAATCAAGAAGTTAGTTAAATAATTTATTGAAAAAAACTGAATTTTTAGGCCTAAAAAATTGTGCAATTTTCAAAAATTTATTTAACCAACTTACCGATTGAAACGAACCAACTGCAGATTCGAGCTATCACTGCCACCATTATGCCTTAGTTCTTTTTCTTCCACTTCCTAGATAAATATGAACTCTCTTTGGCCAGTTTATGGCCATTGGAAACCGTTTCAACACCTACATCAACTTTAGCAACCAGTACTATTGCTCTAAGTTCCAATTGTAGAATCACAATATTGCTCAATTCATCTGAGCTCGTGTCTGGAAGGCAACGGTAAATTCAAATTCAGAGAGTAATCTAGAGAAGCATGTGTAATCCTACAACATACAGACTGTTGATAGTAATGCTCAAAGTAATGTAAAATGGGAATGCATATCACATATAACACATGCAGCTAAAACATGATGACCTATAGACAAATTATCAACAAATATGAAACAATAAGAAATTATAAAATATTGCTTCCGGGAAATAACATACCAAACGATTTTGTTGTAGAATTTCTAAAATTTTCTTGGCACAAATTTTGTCCCGCGCCTTTTGAAAATGTTCATGTAAAGTAGGCCTAAAAGTTGCAATTTTAGGCTTGTTTCGTTTTAGCTATTTCCGGTTCGAATTTTTCGATGAAATTTGGGGAGCATGTTCCCATGGAATGTAGATTATGTCCACCAAATTTTAGATTATAATTCAATCGGGAAGTTAGTTAAATAAATTTTTAAAATTTGCACAAGTTATTAGGCCTAAAAGTGCAGTTTTTTTCAATAAATTATTTAACTAACTTCTTGATTTAATTTTAATCTGAAATTCGTTGAACATAACCTACACTTTAGGAAAAACATGATCACCAAATTTCATCAAAAAAATCCAACTCGGAAGCACCTCAAATTTCATAAAATGTCACATTCCTATCACGGCGTCCTTACCGGAACCCCGTGCGGACAACACCATCAGAGGGGTCTTCCCGGTGGAATTTTTTGATGATTTTTTTTTGTGCATGTTCCTCATCAAGTGTTGTTTATTCATAACAAATTTCAACTCAAAACTCAACCGGGAAGATATATAGTTAAACAAATTTTTGAAACATACTGCGTTTTCTATATGTACAAAATGTGTTGTAAGAGAAGAACCTCCACTTGGAGTGATTGCGTTTGTACAATTGTACTGTAAGAGAAGGGCCATCACTTGAAGTATTTTTGAGAATTATTTTTAATACAACAGTATTTTAGAAATTATTTATTTAAGGGAAAACTGTCAAATAGGCACTCGAACTTTCATAAAAAAGTCAATTAAGTCCTTCTATAGGAGACTCTGTCCGGTCGTCGCAATTTGGGGCGGTTCGTGGTGGAATTTTTTGATGAAATTTTTTGAGCATCTTATTCATCAAGTCTAGTTTACTCATACCAAATTTCAGCTAAAAATTTAATCGAGAGCGCATTCAAATTAATTCGAGAACGCAAAAATGCGCAGTTATCTTCAAGAATTAATTTGAATGTGTTCCCGATTGAATTTTTAGCTGAAATTTGGTATGAGTAAACTAGACTTGGTGAATAAGATGCTCAAAAACTTTCATCAAAAAATTCCACCGGGAACTGCCCCAAATCGCGACGGCCGTACAAAACCTCCTATAGAAAGACTTAATTGACCTTTTTATGAAAGTTCGAGAACCTACGTGACACTTTTCCTTTTATTTAATTAGCATTATTTTGGGAAAAAAATTCCTCTTAATGAACTAATCAGCCCAACCCTATCACACCCCGTTTAAACCATCCTTCATCTCCTTCAGAGTTGATAAAGCTGCGCCTCCACGCGTTCTCCCCCAACACCCTCGGTGTCGGCAATCACCTCCGAAATACTCCTCCCATCTAAAACTTCTGTCAGACTCTAGCCCAAACATTCGGCAGCAGGCAGCAGCACTTTTGTACCCCAATCTGTCATTCGTTGAGTGTCCTAGAGTCGACGATGCTAAGAGAAACGGCGGTGCGGTGAAGATGCTTAGATAATCGGCAATGCGGGGAGGATGCTAACAAAAGCGGTTAAACGGGTGAAATATTATCTAAAGGTGCGATTTGGTCCAAATTTACAATTTTTGGGTGTGTTCTTTGAAATAAATACTCAAATTTAGGCTAATCTACTCTTGGATTTCGTTTTTAATTCACTGTTAAATAGTCCGTATTAATTTTTCTTTTGGGTTTAAATTCATTGATATTGGATTTATATTTCTCAAATATAGTTGTAAATTTTTAAAAAAATATTGTTATCTTACTATTCAAATGTGAACGTAGACTTAAAATCCAATATTATTTCACTCGCAAAAAAAATCCAATATTATTTCAATCTCCATTCATTGTTGTCGGTTTTGTGACATACGATAGTATGTTTTACTTCAGTTTAAAAAAAGACTTTATGTTACAATTGTTGTTTTCAAAATATATAAAAATTCTTCTTACTAATTGGGTGTTCTTATGTATTCATCTAGGACATATTGACTTAGCTTAGGCCAATTTTGGGTTATGCATACTCAAGCACAGAACTCTTGAATTTCTAAAATAAATTGAAATTTTAGTATATAGATATACCGAAAATATTATTACATCTTTACTGTACATTTAAAGGATGATGATTTTTTCAATATAGTGCTTACACTGAATACTATTAAAGTCTGTAGTGTATATTTACAGATCTCCTGGGCAAAGGTTATGACAATTCAGAAGATGGCCAAATGTAAAAAATAGAAGATGTACTAAAACCATTTGTAATGTGCAAGTATTTTTTCTTCCGAAGAGTTCAATACAAACTATGTAATAAGTTCCTGTTTATTTTTTTGGACATCTTAAATTTGAAGTTCAATAACTCCAAGCAATGTATGTAATGCAATGTTTTCATGTTTCAAATGAAAAATTATTCGAATGATTCAAGCATGGTAAACTCTGCCTAATCTAACTTTTTATACTCTACATTTTAAACTGTTGTATGGGAATGCATGACTGGTTGGAATTGACAAAACTTTCTTAAACTGCATAAACCCTTTATGTGCATATTTCCAATAAGTTGTAGCCTTTTCATTAACACATGAATTCTCCCCCTTGTAAAATACATTTCAATGTCAAGAGCCCATAACAACTAAAAATAAACAACATTGTCATACATAGTAAAAAATGTTAAAGTGGCCAAGAACGCCTCATTGTAATGCAAACCCATCTCTAGTGTCTCCCCTCCTTTCCAACGGGGCAACACCTCATATGCCCTTTCAACTCTAACTTTGTCTAACAATATGTGTGAAATATTAACAATGTTTTTCATTGAGATTTGAATTGATTGTATTAAATTACTGGCACGTACAATAGCCATGGTTGTATGTAAGTCAAATTTTAACTCTGTCCCAATTAATCTGTTTACAACTTGTATTATTTCTTATTATCTATCTTCATTCTTTATGCCATATAAAAATTGAATCTTGTATAGCATTTGAGCACACATTCATTTTTTTTAATTTGTAACTTATCTAATATATGTAGCATCTTGAATGACCACTTTTATGAAAAGTATTGTTATTAATATTGATCTAGTATGGAAATATACAATTCCCCAGTTTTATTTTTTTACCCTAAATCCATGTCTTAAAAACCATGATATAAATAAATAGTAAATGAATAAGAAGTTAAAAACCTTATTATTTACCCTGATGAATTTGTAATATTGTAATTAACATTTTCTCATTCAGGCATGTCATTCACCATATAACTTGTCCAGGTTGATAAAAATTAGGTGCGCAAAGCAACTTTGGAGGGGCGCGGAGCATCCCCATCTATTAATCATACCCATGGAGACACACGGGGGTAGTCGCAGGAGTATGAAGATAACTGAATCCTCGAAATCCAGCCGCCACAGCCACCTCCGTCGTCGAAGTTCGTATGACACGGATTCAGATTCCGCGTCTCCTGCAGCCTCAGACTCGGATTCTTCCAGCCGCGAGTCATCTCCATCCAGACGCAATCGAAATCGCAGTCGTAGCATTCGACACAGATTGAAGAATTCCAGTGATTCTGAGACGGAGGGAGATGATAGGAGGAAGAGTAAGAAGAGGAAAATCACGGATGAGCAGATTGCTGAGTACATGGCAAAGAAGGCTGAGAAAAAGTTGAAGAAGGCGGCGAAGAAACTGAACGCAAAACACAAGCTTTCTGGGTACTCAAACGATTCGAATCCATTTGGAGATTCAAATCTAAACGAGAAATTCATCTGGGAAAAGAAAATCCTCAGGGACATATCCAGAGGCGTTCCTCTCGATTCATTCTCACTCAAAGCTGAAAAGGAAAGACAGAAAGAACGGATAGCAGAAATAGAGAAGGTGAAGAAGCGGAGAGAAGAGCGAGAGGTAGAAAAGGCTCAGCGTGAGGAGGAAATGGCCATGCTTGCCAGGGAGCGTGCTAGAGCCGAGTTTCAAGATTGGGAGAAAAATGAAGAGGGATTCCACTTTGCCCAAAGCAAAACCAGGACAAAGATTCGAATCCAACAAGGGAGAATCAAGCCAATTGATGTTTTCACCAAGCAGCTCGATCCTTCTGATTATTTTGACATAGAAATCAACAAGCCCTACATGGTTTTCAAGGGTTTAACTATAAAGGAATTAGAAGAGCTTGAAGAGGACATCAAGCTACACCTTGACCTGGATAGGGCTACAGAAACACATACACAGTACTGGGAAGCACTTTTGGTGGTTTGCAATTGGGAATTGGCCGAAGCAAGGAAAAAGGATGCCATGGATCGAGCCAGACTGCGTGGAGAGCATTTACCCCCAGAGTTGCGGGCTGAAGAGAGGGGTCTGCATTCTAGCATTGAAGCAGATGTGAAGCTCATCTTGCAGGGTAAGAGCTATGAAGAGTTGGAAGCTCTCCAGTCTCAAATCGAGTCCCAGATGCGCTCTGGTACAGCTAAAGTCGTTGAGTATTGGGAAGCTGTTCTTAAGAGACTCCAGATTTTCAAGGCCAAGTCTTGCCTTAAAGAAATCCATGCCAAATTGTTGCGTAAATATCTGGAATTTCTTGAAAAGCCATCTTCTGAGAAGAAAGATGATGAAAATGATATGAACTTTATTAAGCCCGGCATTGAAGAAGAGGCGGATGACCATATTGAAAAGGAAGAGACTGTGCTGATTGAAGAAGATACTAAGGAAGATGTAAGAGTTGAAGAAGAAGAAGATGATATGTATGCTGGATCACATTCGCCTGTATTAATAAATTCTGACGAAAAGGAAGAAGCAATAGATCCTGAAGAAGACAGAGCAATGCTTGAAAAGAAGAGAATGTCAGTTCTGGAAGATAAAGTCTTTGAGAAGAAGGCATTGAAAGCCATGGGAGCTATGGAGGAAGGAGACACAATGTTTGGCTCTAACGACGAAGTTAATATTGATTCGCAGGTTTACTGGTGGCATGACAAGTACCGACCAAGAAAGCCGAAGTACTTAAATCGTGTTCATACTGGATATGAATGGAACAAGTATAACCAGACTCACTATGATCATGACAACCCACCCCCAAAGATTGTGCAGGGATATAAGTTCAATATACTTTTTCCGGATCTAGTTGAGAAGTCAAAGGCCCCTACTTTTGTGATAGACAAGGATGGTGATAGTGTTGATACTTGCATCATAAGGTTTCATGTGGGCCCGCCTTATGAGGACATAGCTTTCCGGATCGTTAACAGAGAATGGGAATACTCTCAAAAGAAAGGGTTCAAATGCACATTCGACGGAGGGATTCTGCATTTGTATTTTAACTTCAAACGCCATAGATACCGTCGGTGAAGGGAATTCTTATATTTTGCAAGTGGCTTTATGCCCATGGATTTGTATTTTTTGAATCACTTTATGTCACTTTGGCCTTTGCTGCTGCTATTATTCATCACGTAAGCCTTATTTTTGAATCCGTTTCTCTAATATTTGGCACTTCTCTTCTTTTAGTTGTTTTAATCCTCCCCAGTTGGGTCAACCTGTGCGTTCTGTACTTTAGGGATCTGTCTGATTGAGCGTTTTAGAGGGGTTTGAAAAGGTTAATCTGTATCTTGATATGTATTTGAGATATTATAAAAATTAATAGTAAAATGTTAACATACTATCTGATCGTGTAGCATTTCATCATCTTTCTCCGTCTTTAGAATCATTCTATCAGGTTGACCCAACTGGGGAGATTTGCGGATATCTCGTTCTCCCATATTAAACGATCAATGAAAAGGGCGGCTAATGGTTTTGCACAAGTCGCGTGTTCCCTGTCTGATTGTCTGATTGTAATTTCTGGTTTTCGGTTCCTTTTTTGTTTATCTTGAATGTATTGAACAATGATTTTATTAATGCTAATTAATTTTATTCCTCTAAAAAAAGAATCATTCTCTGTACCCAGATATAGACAAGTTTTTTAAAACTGAAAGCACTTCAACACCATTAATCCAACGACACCATTGAAAATGTGAACAAACTTTTTTTTATGACTGATGAGTAATTTTGACATTCTTCCTGGATGAAAAGATTTTGCTTAGCAGTCCTTGCTTCAGGCTAGTAGCCTAGTAGCACTTGGTACTAGCGCTACTCAGTAATTTTCACTGAAGCAGTGCCACTGTCCCAGAGAGCAATGTCCTTATTTCCACTTGCTAATAAACTGTAAGTCTGTAAGGCTCCATTTGCTAGCTTTAATTTGCTTACTCTACTTAATTTGCTTACTCTACTTTTAGAAAATTCAGCAGACCTGCCATTTAAGCCCAAATAACCCTCACCAAATGGACTGTTAGTTCATCAAGTCTTGGTTCCTACCAACTTCTTCAGGTGTACAAAATATTATACTGATTGCTGGACAGAAATTGACTTTATGGGCCGGTCATTTTTTGCACCTCGGAGAGATCATGAAACATCATTATAATATTTTTTCCTCATACAAAGGGTGAGTGACTAATGCCAGAGAAGCCACTCCCTCTTTATTTGTTTTCATTGCCTAAGCTCATCTCATCATCTGATGCATACGTTTAACCGTTTGAATGAGGGGCATTCGGTGGAAATAGAGGATTGAGGCCCGTGCCACCCGAAAAGGGACTTTTTCCTTTAGACCACTCACATTTATGTGACTCGGTATGTTTGTATGAACCAGGCTAAAGGATCAAATAGGTACATGAACTAACTTAAAGTGTTCAATTAGCCCCTTATATAGGAGATTCTGCCTGGCCGTCGCCAATTAGGGCGGTTCCCGGTGGAATTTTTTGATGAAATTTTTTGAGCATCTTCTTCTTTAAGTCTAGTTTACCCATACCAAATTTCAGCTAAAAATTCAACCGAGAAGGCAGTCAAATGATTTTTTGAAGATAACTGCGCAATTAAACAGCGCAATACATTTCGGAAAATCATTTGACTGCCTTCCCTATTTAATTTTTAGCTGAAATTTGATAGACAATTCGGGGTCATAGACAATTCCCTTTACTACGTTTTTATATGTATATTTTGACGCAGTCAACTTCAAAAAATCATTTGAATGCCTCCCCGATCGAATTTTGAGCTGAAATTTGGTATGGACAAACTAGACTTGATGAGGAACATGCTAACAAAATTTCATCAAAAAATTCCACCGGGAAGGTGCCCAAACGGGCTCGACCGGACGGAGCAGCCCGTCAGGCCGGCCTGATGAGAAGAGCACTATATACATATATGATTGTGATTAAGTAAAAATATTAAATGAATGTTATCTACAAAAAAAAATTCTAAAGAGGAAATGAGAAGATGTTTTGAGACTTTCCAAAACCATGATTTTTTTGGGACAAAGATAATATGATGTTTATATTAATAGGTGATACAGAGTGCATTTTTATATGGGGGATCGATAGTCATACTACTTTTAGTACTTCTAATAAAAGGAGGAATTTGACTTAGCATCACACTTTTTAGTTGATATTAAACTTTGCATTTCATTTTCAAAAAACTTTGACTTTGCATACCATTTCACTTACAAGTCAATGACTTTGCACCTCATTCAAAAAAAATCTTCACAAAATGTTATATGATCAGGTGCAAAACCGATTTTTCAGAATGGGGTGCAAAATCCAATACAACAACATCCAAACCTTAGTCCCAAAAGATATTGGGTCGGCTAACATGAATCGATATATGATATCACCACCAAAAGGAAAAGAAAGAAAATAAAGATAAAAAATATAAGCTATTAGGAAAAAGATAATATAAAAGAAATGAATATACCTAAAAAATGATAAAATAAAAGGATAAAAATAATGTTTATATATATAAGGATAAAAGGATAAAAAAACAAGAAAAAAATGAGGGGAAAAGATAATACGAGATCACTTCGGACTCCCCTAACCCACGTCTGTTTGGGCCTTCCTATCCCTCTCTTCCCTGCCTCTTCCCCACACATCTCAACTCGTCTTACAGGTGCATCACTCGCTTTTCTACGCACATGACCAAACCACCGTAGGCGCGACTCCCGCATCTTGTCTTCAATGGGTGGTACTCTCACCCTGTGTCTGATTGTCTCATTTCTCACGTGGTCCTTCCTAGTAGCCCACACATCCAACGCAGCATGCGCATCTTCGCCACACCCATCTTTTGAATGTGACATTGTTTCACCGCCCAACACTCTACGCCATACAGTAATGCAGACCTAATTGTTGTACTTTAAAACTCACCCTTCGGTCTAGTCGACATACCTATATCGCATAAAAATCCTGACACACTCTTCCACTTCATCCACCCTTTTCTCATTCTATGGGATACATCTCCATCCAACTCACCGTCCTTCTGAATTATGGAGCCTAAGTAACAGAACATATCGCTGACCGGTATCTCCTTACCATCTAGAATAATTCCGCTGCTACCACCGCTTCTACCTCCACCAAACTTGCACTCCATGTACTCTGTCTTGCTCCGACTTAGTCTGTAACCCCTGTTCTCCAATGTTTCTCGCCATACTTCCAACTTTGCTTTAAGACCTGATTGCGTCTCATCAATCAATACAATATCGTCGGCAAACATCATGCACCACGGTATTTCGTCTTGAATTGACTTCGTAAGTTCATCCATGACAATGACAAATAAGAAAGGGCTCAGAGCCGATCCTTGGTGCACTATGATAGTAATAGGGAACTCCGCAGTCCTATCTACACTAGTACGGACACTTGTAATACAATCGTCATACATATCCATGACGATGATCATACACTTGCGTGATATGCCTTTTTTAGTTAAGGCCCACCAAATAACTTCTCGAGGTACCCTATCATAAGCCTTTTCTAAGTCAATGAACACCAAATGAAGATCCTTGTGAGCTTCTCTATACTTCTCCATAAGTTGCCGAATAAGGTGAATGACCTTAGTTGTTGAGCGATCATGCATAAAACCGAATTGATTCTCTGAAATCTTCACAGTTCTTCGAAGTCTTTTCTCAATCACTCGCTCCCAAAGTTTCATGATGTAACTCATAAGCTTAATCCCTCGATAGTTGACACATTTTTGTACATCACCTTTATTTTTGAATAAAGGGATAAGAGTACTCTTCATCCAACTCGTTGACATCTTGTTGTTTCTCCAAATCATGTTGAAGAAACTTGTTAACCACTCGACGCCTCTCTCTCCCAAACTTCTCCAAGCCTCGATCGGTATGCCATTTGGACCCACTACTTTCTTCCGTCCCATCTTCTTCAAAGCCTCCATTTTTCCTTAATAATGAGGTGCAAAATCAAATTCGTAATAAAATAATGCAATTACTTTAGACATAATTTTTAAAATAAATTACATATCCAATCAAAATAGTTTATGTTTTTCTTAAATAGAAGTAATTCACTACCGTCATGAAGATTTAGGGAGTGTTTGCAATAGCTTAAAAAAAAGCACTTCTCAGCTTTTGGCTTAAAAAAGCACTTATTTACCAAACACTTCCAATTTTTAGTTTTTCTCGGCTTGCGTGTGAAAAGTGTTTTTCCCTTTTCTATTACACAAAAAGTACTTATTTTACCAAACACTACCAATTTTTACTTTTCAATATCACTTTTTTCTCAAACACTATCAACTTTTACTACTAATCACTTTTTCATTACATCTCCAAAAGTGTTTTTTTTTAAGCAGAAGCAGTTGCAAACACTCCCTTAATGCTATACTGTGGCACCATCATAGTCATACAGTCATACTTTAATATAAGACGTTTTATAATTGACAATATTTTTAAGGAAAAATTGAAAATAATAATTTCAATTATTGCCGGACCCGCTAACAATAATTCCAACTATTGTTTATTTTTATATAATCCCAATTATATGGACCGTCCGATAATAATGTTTCTTGATCATATATTACCTGCTATAACAAATGAATTTTAAGTAGGAATTAAGCGTAAAAATTAAAAGATGAGATTATTTATATGAATTACTTGTTACTCCCTCCGTCCCGCTAAGATTGTCCCATTTTACCTTTTCGGGAAGTCCCACTAAGATTGTCTCATAAACCCACTTTTCTTAATAATCGTGCCACCTTCTTTCGTCCCAATCTTAGTGGGACGGAGGTAGTATATCTCTTCTCATCCACTTTAGAAACTACTGTGTATATGATTAATTTATAGCCGGTCACGTCGGACCATTAGTGGCGGAAGAGGTCCATAAAGTTGGAATTATTCTGAAATAATTGATAATTGAGATTATTATGAGCGGACCGCCAATAGTTGAAATTTTTACTATCAATTTTTCGTATTTTTAAACATTACTTTGAAATATGGCATTGTTTTTATTAATATAATTTCTTTAAATTTTTCTAAATTCACTTGAGATAATTCATCTTGTGTTGTGAACCTGTTAAATCAGTTTCTTTTATTTTACCACCACACGTTCTTTCTCACGCTAATCTTTGCGAGCGTGATGGTGCTTACTGCAAAACTGCAGAGTATTACTCACAGGCTACCAGTCGTTCCTCCCGAAATCTTCGGAGCTGAACCGTTCACCCTTGTTGGCTCACCATCAAAGTCAACTTCTTTTTTCCATTTCTCAATCCTCTTCCGGAATTCAACAATTCTTAGATATTCTAACATCATAACTGCCATAATTTATTTATTGCAATATCCCCTGTTCGATTGATCGTTTC